ACACACATTGCATCTGTGTGCGCTCCGTGTTCATTGTGTTTGGTCTTGGTGTTCTGACTCATTTATTAGATGAGATCAGACAGTACAGTGGAGAATCCCCACAGCGCAGCAGACTCCACGTCTCTCAGTGATGTCTGTGCAGGAGCTGAGGAGGTGATGAGGAGCTGATGCTCTACTGTATAGATGGAGACACTCATCTTCTTTGTAAGATGTTCCAGCGCTGAGACGCATGTCCCTGTGACAGTCTGAATCTAAATCTGCTGGTACACTTCAGGGATAATTCAGGAGTGGAGCGTCTTCCTCAGATTACTCTATAGTGATCATCAGTGTTACAGGGCAATAGAGGCCGGTCTTACATCCATCCATCCACAGCTCGTGTCCCTCTCTGCTGTTAAAATACCATTACTGCTACACGCTTGATCCAGAGGCATTAGCGGCCATTAGAGAGTGAGTTACGGGATGACGGAGGAGTATTGATCAGCCGGATCAGTGTGTCTGCAGTGTTCTCAGCTCTATCAGACTAATGAGAAGCGTTGGGTCAGGCCACGACACTGATGTGTGGGACGCAGACGACACTGATTTAACATCCACAGAAGAGGAGGATTTATCTGAGCATGAGCTGAGAGCAGTGCTCTGGGTCACGGCATGTCCCTTCTCTGATCGCTCTCTGATGGCTGAAAACGTCTCCGTTTAACCACATCAGTGCGTTAATGGACTAATGTCCAGAGGATCATGTGCTTATGATTGATCACAGCGGGTCCCACATTAGCGAATACATGCCACTATACCTAAGCCACTATAAAGACCCTCCGTTCTATATCATAGTCATCTTCCTTTTGAAGAGTCCCCCATCCTCCCCTACTCCTCCACCTTGCCCAGATGGGCTGCACGGCGACCCAGTGGTGAGCATCAGTGGTGGTTCTGGTTTAAATAGCACCCTGGGTGAATTACCCCCATGTACGCCCCTCAACACCCCCATGACCCCCCATACCATCTTCTATTCATCAATATGTCAGAACGATCACTGCTAACACTAAAGATGACTCAGTCAGAGATCTACCTGATGCTTCTAATGTCCACAGCAGTCCAGGCAGCCCAGAAGAGCTGGACACTGCAACTGAAGCTGTCGATTCTGTCCTTTCTAGCACGTTTTTGAACTCACAAGTTTCTGAACCTGTTCTTGATGTTTTGAATTCATGCCCTGTATACGCTCCTACAACTCTAAAACTAGCTGTCATTAAAGCCTCTTATTAAAAAAACTGTTTGATCCCAAAGAACCAGTAAATATAGACCCATTTCAGCCCTGCCTCTTCCATCAAACATACTAGAAAGAGTGGTATCTGCTCACCTGTGCACCATCTTACACAGAAACAACACTTCCATCTTGATTTAGAGCGTTTAATAGCACAGAAACAGCACTAAGAGTTACACATGACCTCCTCCTGTCGTCTGATCATGCTTGCATTTCTCTCTTAGTGTTATTGGACCTCAGTGCTGCATTTGACCCAGTCCACAGGCCCGGCGCTACGGGGGGGCAAAGGGTGGCATTGCCCCCTCAGACAGAGTTTGTGCCCCCCCAGTTTTTATAAAGGATTGTTCACTCAAACTGAAAATTCTTTCTGTCATTAATTATTAACACTCCCGTCCTTCCAACCTTCAGAACACACATTTAAATATTTTAAAATATATGACATAGCAATTAAATTATGAAAATGGTGAGGTTAAAGCTAGTCCTATAGTCCAGAGATCCGGTCCCCGCGTCAGGTCTGGTGCGCCCGTAAATAGCCTTTAAAACGCGCACACGGCGATGGAGGCGCACTCAACTCACAAGGGAGAAAATGGGTGACATGATAGGAGCAGCTTAATTCATTACATGTTTTGGTTAACTAATTATTTAAACACAACTCTCTTGAGCTCTAAAAGGAAAAAACACATAAGAAATTTGCTGTTAAATTAATTTTAGCAGAGACGCAAATGCCAGTCATTTATTAGTTATTCGGGAAGATGTAGCCTAATAAAAATGTTTTAATAAAAATAAATAGTTTACTGCACAGTCCCACAGTAGGCTACACTATAAATAATATTTTAATTTATTTATTAATATTATTATTAATATTATTACAATTAAGCTAAAATTGACAAAACGCAGAACCCTTTGAATGTTTGCTTTCATTTTGCTGAAAAGTGCACTTTTACAGTTGTGTAGAGAAACATCCCATTATGCAACTGCAGTCTAGGTTTAACACATAATAAATGCATTTTGCGTTTAAAGATGATCGGCCTGCGAAGTCAAGTTTGCAGTGTTATAAATGGAATAGGTATAGTGCTTAAGTGGATTTACCGCGGATCAACCGAGAAATCTCGTGCGCTGCAGGTAGGCAGAATGATAATCTTTTAAAAGTATGTAACTTAGGCTATACTGCTATTTGCTCATGCAAAATTAAACAACATAAAATATATTGTAGATCTGTTTTAAGAGCTAAAATACAACATATCGAGTTTGTTTTGACTTAGCTCATGGCCCTAAAATGAAAATAACCTGAAAACAAGCTATTAAAAAAGGCCTAATAAATAAAATAATTAATAAATAAAATGACGGGTAGGCCTAGAAACTATGGTACATATGGTTTATGATGGTTTACAATATCACGAAAAAAGCACATTTATAATATTAGACAAATCTTTGTTTTTACATTTAAAATGATGAAAAAAAAGTTATATAGCATATAAACATTTAACCAATTTTCACGGTAATAACTGTGAATTTTTGTATCTTTTTTAGGTATTTTTCTGGCTACACTAATGCCTTAAAATGTAACTAAGTAATTGTTTTGAATGACATTAGATTGTCACATTTAGCTTTTCCCCAACACTGATGTTGGTTGTGAAGCGTGATGACTCGGTTAAGCTGATTTCACTATATTTATTTACCGGTTAAATGAATTGTCTGATCGTGGGTCAGCTTGCATGTGTGGGCATAATTTGACGTCTTTACCTAAAACTTTAAACATTCATAGGCCTGTTATTTGAAATAAAACGGAAATAAGGAGAATAACATGTGATTTAAAGCACTCGTTTGGCACTGAAGCCATCATCCGTCTGCATTAATAAGCGGTATGCATTACCATCGTTAATAAAATTCGTAATAGCGAAACTGCGTATTGTTATTACTATTAAAACGTAGCCTATATTACTGCCTTAGGTCAGTAACTTAGGCAGTAATGCAAAGTAATAATAAATGCGAATAAATAGCCTAAATGAAAGAAACAAGAGACCAAAATCAGTCACCAGGTCTAGTGCCCCCCTATGGATTTAAAGTGCCCCCTCAGTTTTGACTTCCTGGCGCCGGGCCTGCCAGTCCATCATACGATTCTCCTTGACAGGCTTGAAGATGATGTTGGTATTACAGGAGCTGCATTGCCCTGGCTCAGTTCAGTCCTCATCTTCAGTCAGAATTTCATTTGTCGTCAGCATCTGTAAAACTTTATTTCTTCATCTTCAAAACGTTGCCAAACGTCGACATCTGCTATTAATGTCTGATGCGGGAAAGCTGATTCATGCATTCATGACCTCTCCATTAGATTACTGTAATGCGTTACTAGACGGTTGTCCTCCTGGCCTTATCAAACTTCAGCTGGTTCATCGTGCAGCTGCTAGAGAACTTTCTAGAACAGAGATATGCTCATATTACTCCAGCTCTGTCGTCACTGCATTGACTCCCTATTAAATATCCTCTACATTTATTAATGTTATTGACTACCTACAAAGCCCTGTTGTGTGTGTGTGGTGTGTGTGTGTGTGCAGGTGGAGGCTGAATAACGCAGAGCTGGTGTTAGCGGAGGGCGGTGATCCTCACTACAGCGTGTCGGAGGGAAACCTGCTGATCAGCTCATCTGACAAGAGCAAACATGCGGGAAACTACACCTGTGTGGCCAGCAACCAGTACGGCAGCGTCACCAGCCGGAGAGCCAGAGTACAGTTCGGCTGTGAGTCTCACACACACACACACACACACACACACACATACTCTTGTGTATATACTGTAAATACACTCACTGGCCACTTTATTAGGTACACCTGTCCAGCTGCTCGTTAACACAAATGTCTAATCAGCCAATCACAGGGCAGCAGCTCACTGCATTTCTGCATGTAGACATGATCAACCGGATCTGCTGCAGGTCAGAGCGAGCATCAGAATGGGGAAGAAAGGGGATTTAAGAGACTTTGAACGTGGCATGGTTGTTGCTGCCAGACGGGCTGCTCTGAGTATTTCAGAAACTGCTGATCTACTGGGATTTTCACGCACAACCATCTCTAGGCTTTACAGAGAATGCTCCGACACAGAGGAAATATCCAGTGAGCGGCAGTTCTGTGTGCGCAAATGCCTTGTTGATGAGGCCAGAGGTCAGAGGAGAATGGCCAGACTGGTTCCAGCTGATAGAAAGGCAACAGTAACTCAAATAAGCACTCGTTACAACCGAGCTCTGCAGAAGAGCATCTCTGAACACACAACACGGCCAACCTTGAGGCGGATGGGCTACAGCAGCAGAAGAGCACACCGGATGCCGCTCCTGTCAGCTAAGAACAGGAAACTGAGGCTACAATTCACACAGGCTCACCAAAACTGGACAATAGAAGATTGGAAAACCGTTGC